CTGTATATATTTCTTTTTAAAGCTGCCATCGGTATGATGTGCACAGATTATTGATTGACACTTCTGGTTATTCCTGAAGGAATTTTTTCATTTGCTGATGTTCTATAAGGCCCTTGCTTTGAATGTGCACTTGTTTGAGTGTGTGTACTTGGGGGTGTTATTATGTCAATTTCAACTTTATTTATATAGCACAACTTGGTGGAGCAGAGTGCTTTACAAAGTAAACGGTATAATAAGAAAAGAGAAATATGCAATATATCATGATAGTAATGATAGTAAAATAAAATCTGCTGGTATAATAACATTGTTAACTCGGAAAGAGGGACAAAGAGAAAAGATGTGCAAGAGAGGGGGTAGATCTAAAATGGAGGGGTAAACTGTTCCACAGGTTCTGGGGCGGCTACCACAAAGGCTCGACCACCTCTGGTTTAAGTTTTAGGTAAATCCAAGAGCAGCTGAGTGGCTGAGCTGAGCTCTCTACCTGGAGTGTGAACAGGAAGAAGTTAAGCTCGGTAAGGCGGAGCCAGTCCATTAAGAGATGTGTACAAAATGTGAAGCACTTTGTCTTACATTGTGTTTGTATGAGAAAAGTGTGTCTGGTGGATTGACTGATTCATCACCATCCCTCACCTGCCCTCTTCAGCCAGCACTGCTCCCTCATCCTTCAGCCTCGTGCTCTTCGCAGCACAGTCCTCCAGCAGGATCTCCCGCCGTCGTTTGATGGCTTGAAGCCAGTCCACCTCCACCTCCTCCTCCTCCTCTTCATCATCGTGACCTGGTCCATCGTTCTCAGCCTTCTCCGCCTCGGCCACAAACTGTTGCACCACAGCCTTTGACACCTTCTCGCCGACTTTCCTCTTCCAGCCAAATGAAGCCATCCTGTGGGGACGAGTGTTGGGGTCACATGCTGTCAAAAACAACACGTAGTGAAGAGTGTCTCGGTGATGCACTTTGGTTTTCACACGGAAAACAAGCTAAGTGTTAGCTTCGTCTTCAGCAGATATTCACGTTACCAGTAGACTGGACGGTAAAGTTTTAACTGTTAAATATCTTGTTGACATATTGATAATTATCTCACAACTACAACTCTAATACAATGAGTAAACAGAAACAAACTCAGGCACATCAATACTAGCTAGCTAGCAGAACACCCACAGACAATCACTATCTCTTCGCACACAAATATGTTCTAACTTAATTGTGACATTACAGTTTTACATATTCTTATTAAAGGACAGCAGGGGACGGTATACTCACAGTTTCCTGCAGCTGAACAAGCTAAAACCGGCTAACAGAAGCTAATCAGCCATATTTGTTGACCCTTCAAGCTGCGTTCAGGACAAACGCTTAAATAGTAATTTTGAGCAACCAAGTCGGGGAAACATTTAAGCCCTAATGACAAGTTGTATCAGTAAAGGTGATAAGAGGTCGAATCGTTTCAACAAGCTGTGTCTCGTTTCACATAAACTAAACCGACACTGTTTGTTTGTAGCTTGTATTTCATTTAGTGGGCAATCCCGAATCGGAGGAGCGTGTGGCTTTTATTTGTGCCAACAGGACGTGAATGCAACATAACCCGGAAACTGTGGCGATGTTTACACGATCTCTTAAAGGAATACGACCCCTTTTAAAGTGCAGAGTTTACTTCAATCACCTAAATATCTAAATACTATTTCTTTTTCTTTTCATGGAGATCCATCCATCCTTCCATACCATTAATATCATTTTACACACACATACACCAGTATCGCCCCACCATGATCTAATTAACTAAAAAACAAAGAGGTCTTGATATTTCTAACCCCTTCACAGCTCAGTTTGACATTCCTGGACAGGGAAAAGTAGCAAGAGTAATGAGTAATATTCTTTAGTTTTGTTCCTAAAGCAACAGTAATGTTAAATTTGTAAATTGTGAGGGTTTACTCGCAAAGGACTGGAGACATACAGAGAAGCTTTGGCAGAATTGTGTGCAATTTAGCAGTTTATTAGGCAGTTGTGTATACAAATGATTTCAACACTGTCCATTCAGATTTACACTGGTCTAGTAGGGTCCCTTTACACACCAAACAAAAATAGAACAATTTTTCTTTGAAGCAGTTTGAACACTCAGAGTTCACCTGTTAACAGTCAACTAGGAAACTACTCTGTAAGCTGTCAAAAAGGTCACTGTTTCACACATTCATCTTTTCCACAAAACCCATCATGTCAGCCATGACTGAGGTCTGTAATCAGAACTTGCAACTGCCCTTCCAAACTAAAACGGTTTAGTTTTTCAAGATCTTCCCGAGACCATAGTGTGCGCTTCTTTCCCCCAAACCCTGTAATTCATACACTCTGGTTGAAAAGTGAGAAATTAAGATCAAATATCAACTAAATATTTAAGTCCAAACCAATCTTGTAGAACAGCAAAGAGACAAGATGATCATATTTATAGTCACTCTTTTTTGTTGTAATATATCTTTGAAATGTAAAGTTGTTCAGGCAAAGAAGATATTTTGGATTTTTAAAGCTGTGGAGAGTGAACCATTGGAAACTTAAGAGACTTCAGCAACTGTTCTTGATAAAAATAAAACATGTTTTTTTTACGTATCTGATATTAAAATGAGATTATACTAAGATCAGAAACAAGGTTTATAATTTATGAATAAAAAAGATGAAATAAGTTTGTTTTGTTTTCATTAGTTGGAAATAGTTACTCTACAGCATTTTAGCAAAAAAAACTTAATTTCAAGTTTTGCAGTCAAGATTTTTTCCTTGACAACACTTAATATGTGTATTTCTAATTAATAGTAAATTAACACTGTCAATATAAATTGTGAGCTTCAGTATTAGAGGGGCCAATAATTCTGATCAGCATTGAATTTCTAACTTTTACTGACATAAAAACAGATGAACAGTACTGATAATGATAAGGCAGCCAAACAACAGACAGCACTTCAAACTTTAGGACTTTGGACAGGAAATGGAGGGAGACACTTCATTATTTTCAAAAGACTTTGAGATTGTAAACATAAGGTTCTGTCTGATATTTCGTTTAGAACTAAGAAGAAACTATATCGGCCACACATTTAGGATCTCAATAATTGTGTGATGTTTTTTCATTTGCCATAAATTTAACAAACCTGGCAGGACTTAATAATTACAAGCTCACAAGTCTGTTTAAGGTTTAGAAATATGTAAACCTTTTTTACCCCAAAGTCCACCTTCAAGCGAATAATCAAAATCAAAAACATATTAAAAAAAGACAATATTTAGAATGTATTCTCCTGCCAATAGACAC